TAATAATTTAATTGGAATATGCATCAAACAGTGTATTTTACTGTTGCCTAGCAATGCTGTTTGAAAACAGATTCATAACAGGAATCTTTAACACTTTCTCACAGTTTAATTGCTGTATGGAAAAAAAAAAAAACTTCCACCTATCAGGGAATTATGTCAGGACAATTCAGAAAAGTAAGTGTGTGTGTGTGTGTGATATATAGTCTGTGTTGGTCACGTATTAAGAAGGTTTGGAAAGGAGAGGTTTAGTATCTATAGATTTCCTCCCCCCCATCCCCACACACACATCTGGGGCTAGATGTTTTGTTAAAGGAAATTTGTCTATCAGTCCTGATTATGTGTGTTTATATAACTATAACAGACCTGCAGAAGTACTTTTCAGCATAAAGGATCCAGATACAGAGGCTAAGTCTGTATTTAACATTGCTCAATGTAGCTATCTATGAGTAGAAGTTAGGAATCAGCAGCTCATTGGCTTTTCAGTGCTCATGCCCACCCATGAACCTTATCCTGGGATATCTTCTGTGCTCTTGGCCTTCATTGAGTCTTGCATATGTTCTGCTCCTCCCTTGGACTCCTGATACCCTGCTCACCCAAGTTCCTGACTTGGAGCTTGACCTTGGGCTCAGGTCAAGGACACCATTTCAGAAAGGCAGCAAGTGGTAGTGACTGCAGGTATTTGCTCTTTCTGTCCTTCCCCTCATGATCAGAGAGCAGTTGGTGCAGGGGCATGGAAGGCAGAGGCCCTGGCCGAGGCATCAGCTGGGCAGCTGTCTGAGAGCGTCCCAGGTAAGGGCCTCCCTCCCAAAGCCTGCATCTGGCACCCCAACTCCTCTTTCCCCTCAACCTCCTCTTGCATCCCTACCCTATGTAACCCAACCCCTCCGCACCCTGCTCCTTGCACCCATACCCCCTCCAGGATCCTACACTCCTTTCTATACTCCTTCAGGTCATAACCTCCTCCCAGACTTTGTACCCTAATACCCTGCCCCTGGTTACAACACAAATCACTGCACCTCCTCTTGCATCTCGGTCCCCTGCCCCAGGACACAACCCCTTCCGTGACTCAAAGTCCTTCCTACTTCCCATACCGCGTCCTACGTTCAATGTGGGGTAGCAAAGGCAGTTCCTCACCCCCAGACCAATCATTGTCTGGGGGCAGGGAACTTGGAAGTATCTTGGCCCCATCCCTTCCTGTGTGACATTTCTGAAGTGGCTCCTGACAAAAAAATTATTGCCCACCCTTGGGCTAAAGAATAGTAAGACATGTGCTCACTGAGGTACAGCTTTGAAAATGCATTGCCAAATTCACGTGCTCACTAGAGCACAGGGTAGCTGAAAAGTAGTCAGGGAATAGTAATTAAAATGTGTAGTTCAGAATAAAGGAATTGTTTTCCATATAGTCATCAGTAAATTCCGTTTTTTGTTACATTTATTCTTCTGTTATGTCTTGCTTTTTTCATTGCAGAAGTATATACATTGAAACACTGTGTAGTCAGCATTATATGTGGCAGTCAAATTGGTAAACTTAGATATGGATGCTTTTTCTAGGAATTCTGAAGTACGTTTACTATCCTTTTCTTTTATTGACCTCCTTTGCCTTTCAGTTATCATCTTTACAATGACTTGAATTTTAATTTAACAGTAAAACAATTTCTGAACAGCCAACCAATGTGCATGTGCTTGAGAATGCATAATCTTTTCTGGTTTTAAGAGCAAGCAAGATTTAGATGTCAAAAATATAAAATGGGAGTCTTACAAGACCAAAAGTCATCGTTATACAATGCTCACTTTTTGTTCCAATTGGGTTTTTCTATAGGGTTGAGATATATTAATGGTTGTATGTAAAATAACTGAAGTTCACTAAAATCTTCCACGAAGATTGCTAGCAAAGGCATATTGCCATCTTTCTTCACTAAATTTATTTTCATACTTAGGGTGGAGTACATTCATTGTTGGATTATCATTAGCTTTTCTATGCCTGATGGGGTGCTAGGCAGTATTAGTGGTTCAAATATGGGGTCTTTCAGAAAAATTGTTTCCAAGATGTAGTCCCTTCCACCCCCCTTTTTTCATAGGGCATTAGCTGTGGATCTGACATCAATATCAGTTAATGCATGGAACCTTTGGCCCCTTTGGGGAACCAGTATTGAAAAAGTAGTTGATCTTAGAGTTTGGATATCAAGAATAGCATGTACCAAAACTCATGAGCCAAAAAGGGATTAAAGTGTTCATGGACGGTTTTACAGGCAGCCTTTTGTCACACTAAGTGGCTAATTCAAGGGGACATGCTTTAGTCAATGGCCTTGAGCTACATCCATGCATCTGATGATAATATGTAGGCATGTTGCTGCCTTAACACCTCTCTTCTGGGAACTTTGCCCTATTAATGTTTACAGCTAATTTAGAAGAGGTTCTAACTATTTTCTGAAAGATGATAAATTACATATGCTTTGTGCAGATATGTGAGCACCATTACTGGGCATGTTGCCATTGGCCACCTGGGGAAATATTATAGCAGAGCACCAGCATTGATTAATCAATTAGCATTGATTAACTGGAGGGAAAACGAAAGACAGGGTAATGTAATTGTTTTTCCAGAATAATGGAATTTAATATGCTTAAATCAAAAGTTTCCTGATGTACAGTCTCCTAACATGAAGTGCTGATAGCATTTTTAGATTCTAACATTTTTGCTGCAGAGCTAGGAAGTATAGGAAGTCGGAGTGGAATGGAAGAATGTAGGTATTTGTGGGCACAGTGCTACAAGTGTGAGTTAGGAGATTACAGGGTGGGGAAGGAGGCTGAGGACAGAGAAGTAAGTAGGAATAGGGGGTGGCAGATAAATGGGGATGGGGAGGAGTGATGGCAGATGAGTGGGGATAGTAGGGAGGAGTTGTGTGAATGCTCAGGCCGGGGG